AGAGAGAGAGAGAGAGAGAGAGAGAGAGAGAATTAATAAAAGGATATCATACAGTCGGTTTAGAGGCAGATTTAGATAAGTTTACTAATAAAATGCTATTTGTCAGATGTGTACATGTCACTACAGTGAGAAAGATGTGCAACGATACAACGACATAGCATTTTCTTACCTAAAGTCATGATTGTAGATAACAACAGTGGTAGCAGTAAGTGGCTAGTGCTCACATTATCTACGAATGCTAATAATAGCGCCGAGGTATATGTATTCCGAAGCATTACTCGCTTTAATTGCAAGAAACGATTCAGGGGAGAGAAGCAAAAAGGCTCGCATCAAGGAATCAAGGATGTGGATAAGGTATTTTGTTTCTTACTCACCTGTCCCCTCAGATGATTCGAAATATTGCACAATTTCCGGAATGTATTATTAAATAAATAATGTTTTTTAGGTGTGTGTGCATGTGTGTGTTATTAGTTGCAAATTTATTCGTCTAACCATCAGTTATGCGTGAAGTTGTTAATATTAAAATAACTAAAAGATGCAAAGTTGATGAGCGCGTGTATTTCTGCAAAATTATTACAATATATTATATAAAGTTATAATTGCTCGTTAAACTGAATTCGCTACTTAAGAAATTTTGGTAGTTAACAGAGTCCGAATAAAAAAATAATATCGGTTAAAAGTAATTTCGGGGAAAACGTTAAATAATTATTTTGCTCAAACTTTTAAAAGATGTAATCTCGGGCAAAAAGTGAAAAAGAGATAAAGTTAATTAGAAGTTAATTAGAAGTTAATTAGAAGATGGCAAGGAATTACGGATTAACTCCTGGCGTTTAGAAAGATTAACTTAGACTAATAAATGGAAGCAGAAGATGAAACGGAGTACGATTAACGCAAGCAGGAAATTAATGACATACCCGAGAAATTGCAAAACTAACAGAAGTATAATTAATCTCGTCGTAAAAAATTATATCATGGTGGGATCACGAAAGACGCATGAAAAAAGGAAAGAAAATATTTCGCGGGTGGAGTTTACTAACACGTTATCCTTTTCTTGTCTTATGATAAATGACGTTGCGTGCGTCTTTGAAAAATACAATGTGGCGTGTATTGGGAGAAAGACAAATTAACGGCATGTGCGTGCAAAGGGAGAGAATTACACGAGGAAAAAAGAAAAGTGCAAAAATAAGGAAGCGAAACGTGAGAGATGTTAGAACGGCATTTTCAATCAAATATATTAGTATATTTCGAATTTCTTTTTCTATAAAGAGTATCTTATCTACGTCATTGATTAATAAAAAAGAGAGTTTAAATAAAACAATAGAGAAAATAAAGATGGAGAGGAAAAGAAGAAAGAATATTCAATGCACGTAAATATATCATAGATAAAGGCAAGTTGCAATTAAGTTAATTAAGACTGGCATAGTTTAACATATTTATTTATGTTATTATTAATATTATTTTATAATTATTTTATAATTATTTTTTTGAAAATATATTAATTAACCGTATATAAATTCTACTTTACAGATACATCTTTTCTATTATAAGGTTGGTTATTAAAAAACATGACAAAATAAACAATACGACAAAATAAAATAAAATATCTATTATATCTTTGAATAAAGCATAATGAAATTAATATTTTACCATAGAACTTTTTAATTCTTTTTATATTAAAATCATAAATGATATCTATATAAAAGGAAAAAAATAGTTTAACATTTAAAACTCTAATTCAAAGAAATCAAACAACTTGGGAAGATCTAAATACTATCTCTTCTTTATATCTAAGCATCCAAATTAATAATAGAGTAACGATATACATCGATCATCGGCAATTCTGCTGTACCTATGTTTGACACGTCGATAAATCTACTCCGTTCTTATTCTCTCTCTCCGTTTGGTGAGCTACGATATTGTTGTTAAAGGAGTGAGAACTAAGGAGGCAAAAAAATTGAAAGCGAGATTCTGCTCAAAATACAGATAGGTAGAAAGTGATAGAGGAAAAGAGCGATAGAGACAGTGAGCGATAGAGAAAGAGTATCTTACCGGAAGCCCGTAACGTTGGTTGATAGTGCCGTGCGATTATTTATCGAGGTGGAGTGGAGTGCGGCAATGGGAAGGAGGCCGAGTTACCGGTCCTCGGAGACACAGGCTCGCACTGCCACACAGTAACTGTTGGGACTACGCACTCTGTTGTCGTTGTTGGTGGTCGATGGTGGTCGATTGGTTGGTTGGTTGATTGATTGGTTGATTGGTTGGTTGATTGGTTGGTTGGTTGGTTGGTTGGTTGGTTGGTTGGTTGGTTAGTTGGTCGTGCGTGCGAGGCCCACGATTTGTCGTCGATAATCGGGGTCGTGACGATGACCGATGGCGATTTCGACCGAGCGAACCGATTGTTTCGCGATTCGAGTCGAGTACGGAGAGCGTTCAGAGTTTTGGCATTGGCGGACGATGCCGACCGAGAAAGGATATCAAGATAATCAACAATACAGTGAGGCGTTCAAGTTCAGAATGCACGCTGCGCTCGAGGCCGTGCACTTACGTGAACGAAGATGCACACAGATGTCAACAGGAAGCCGGAGGACGAAAAACTGATGCAATTGCGATTCTTCTTTTTTTTTTTAATGATAATTGCAATTTTTTGGTGGCATCGGGATACTTAATGATCACTTCAATTGTTCGACTTACTGCCAACGAGATGAATGCTGTGTGTGTAGTTCAGCCGTAGTTTTGAGCGAAAGCAAGGAGATTAAGGCAGAGATAATTACGAGAAGCACTTTGCTTCATTAATGTGTAATTTATTATTTTTTATACATGCTTCAAAAACATCAGCCAACTTTTTTTCATGCAATTTAAAGCTTATTTCTTTGTAATGCAAATATACTAAAAAAATGACAATAATTCATGAAACGTTTGTTCATCAAACTAATCAAGTTAACTCTATATCGTTAATATTTTGACAAAACGTTATTATTTTGACTACTTATTTTGTGAATTTTGTTAATATATGTCACAATACGTCACAATATTCTCTTTAAATTAATAAATTAATACTTTGATGGAATGGAATGCCAAGTATAATGCAAAGTTTAATGGAAACGGAATTCTATTTAACGTATTAAGTATATAAAAAGATATGCACTAATAGATATTATCACTAATTATTAATTGATTTAATCATTTATCAATTTCATGAATTTTATGTGAGGCTAATTTTCTTAAATCATCGTGGCACTCGACTTATGTATGCGCTTGCCAAAAACTGTCAGCCAAAGCGATCATTAAGCCTAAGTAACGAAGAAACGATAAATCTTGCTGATGGAACAATCAGCATCGCATCGCTCGGTGGCGCGCTTGGTGTGTCAACGCGGCAAACATTACTCAAGAGGAGTGGATGAGAGCAGCGGACAAGAACAGATACAAAGAAAGAGAGCAACAGAGAGGCGGTAAAGTCGCGGGCGCGCAAAGTCACACACGTGCGTGGCAAACGGCACAGAAACACAACAGCGAATCATGTCTTCCGCTATTGTGGTCGCACAGTGACGACAGTGGCGGCGACAGTGGTGATGCTGCTTCTCGCTTCTCGTAAAAGCCTGAGACGGCAAGAGCGGGGATTCGAGTCGTTACTGTCAGGCTATGAGACGATACGAGCAATCAGCAACAGGCAACAGCGGCGCGCAACAGCGATCGCAATACAGATGAGCAGAGAGCACAGATCGTGATGATCGCGATTTAATCTTTTGCTGATTTTGCCGGAGAACATCGACCTCTTCGTGGAACACAAGCAGAGCGAGAGAGAGAGAGAGAGAGAGCGAGAGAGAGAGAGAGAGAGAGAGAGAGAGAGAGAGAGAGAGAGAGAGAGAGAGAGAGAGAGAGAGAGAGAGAGAGAGAGAGAGAGAGAGAGAGAGAGAGAGAGAGAGAGGGAGACAGAGGGATGAACGGTTAGTTTATGCTCTCGATAAAAAATCGAGTCAGTGGCGAGCATCCGTCGACCGAGATGATGACTCCTCGAGCGAAAAAGCGAAGGATGATTGACGAGGCGAAGCTTGGAATTTCGCAGATCTGAACGAAACGTCGCACGATGGGTTTGTTTCGGTAAGCTTCACGATGGATCCACTGCAGTGATCGAGATGCTTTTCTATTTTTCAATCTGGCTCGATTTCATTATGATGCCGATGGATCAATTCCGCGGATCTCGGCGAACCTGTGTGTGACGACTTTTGGCGAATGCTCATCGGAGAGATTTGCAATCCAATCCAGGAAATGAAGTGAACGCCAAATCAAACATCGAGCGTATGAACGATGAGATAAGCGACGAGGCGCAATAGAGGGTGGTAAAATAGAGAACGAGTGTCGAAGGCTGTCATCGTCATGGTCGACGTTAGATACGAAAAAAATCTATAATCAATTCAATTTTATTTTGTAGTCTCATCAAAGTCCTTTCCCAGATCGGGCTCTTCCCGCTTTGATCCGTCCGATTTAAATTTCATAAACTGATGAAAACATGACTTTTGACAAACGAATTTCTCCGTATATAAAAAATGTTCGCTCGGTCAAACCGCGCGGAGTCGACAGGACGTGATAGTGCGAGACAAATAAATAATAATTGCATCGACACTCGAATGCATAAATGTTGAAAAATTTAAAAAAAGAGAGAAATTTTCTAATTCTACAAAAAAAAAAAATACAATATGACTGACATGTAAGCTAGAATTATATTAAGTATGACTAGAAATGTCATTAAATATGATCAAATAAAATTAACGAAAGGAAATGCTGTTTGATTGATTTTCTATAATATAACAGTTTTAAAAAAATTCAAGAATTTAAAATTCAAGTATCTTATGATAATGAAGTTATCATATAATGAAGTTATAGGAGGTAATTGTTGCTGAAAAAGTTATTTTCTTGTATCATATAATAAATAATACAAATGCAAACGTAAAGGTAAAAAAAGATTTTTGAATCTTACCGAACAGGTTTTATCTTAAAAATTTACTTTTTACATTATATCGATTTAAATTTAAATGAGGCTTTTTCTTTACCAAAAATATAAAAAATACGACATTTAATATTAGTTTTTCTATTAAAAATTTAATAGAAATTTTCAAATTCTTTATTTCGCAATTAACAGGTCGTTATAGGAAAAAAAAAAAAAAACAAGTTATAAGACGGTGAGTAAATTGATAGAATTTATTGTTCTGCTTAAAAACTATTTTTTAAAAATCGAAGATAAAAAATAAAAGAGAAAAAACAACAGTAATAGTGAAGAAAGGAACAGGCAGGTGACTCGAATAACGCATACACAAAACGAATATAGTTGACGAGCACGAGTAAGACGATACACGAACACCCGGACAGAATGCACACACGCACTCGCACACATTTGGATGCACGATTATGATATGGCGTTGATTAATGATACTTTTGGTCAAACCACACGGTGACGGCGATGGTAACGGTTACCAACGAGACGTTAAACAACGTTAAACGGTAACGATGACAAAATAGAGAAAGAGAGAAAAAGAGAAAAAGAGTATCACAAAATGCAGTAAAAAATGGTCGTGGTGGTGGTGGTGGTGGTGGTGGTGGTGGTGGTGGTGTGACGAATGGAAAGGTACAAAGACAAACAAACAGACGGACGACGGACGAACGAACGAGCGAAATGATGGCCAAAAGAAGCAAGGAACCATTTATACTCACGACTGCCACGTCTCTTGTCACCGGTGAGGCTCATGGTCCTGCTGAGCTCGCCCTTGGTCGCCTTCAGTGCTCGCAACCCCTCCAGAATCTCCTCAGGATCCCTCATCGGTCTGGTGAAAGAGCTTCGCCGCCGATCACGATTATAGTGTACTATAGCGGGCATATCAGCTTCGCCCATGCTTCCACCTGTACGGAAAGAATTTAATTAGAAGAAATGAAATGGAATTATATATCAGTGATGTGGAAAATTAAATAATTTCCGTGATGAATTTGCGAAATAAAACTTACCTTTAACACGTCTATTTCCGAAAGTTTACAAACGCCGATACGATAATTAAAAAATTGCAAATTGTTACGAAAATTGTAATTTTCATGGAAAAAAAAAAAATGCTATCTACGCTATGTTATTATTATGCTTTCATTTTTTTTACGCTACTTTAAAGCCTTCTAGTTTTTACGATACTTCGCGGTGCATCGATTTCTCTTGTTTACAACGTTTACGCGGACGCCTTCTAGCTGAGGTGATGTAATCGAATAGCGATAATCGAGGAAGCTGTTACTTAAGCGTGCCAAGTGCTTCCAAGCAGCACTCGAGGCTACCCAACAATAGCATCACAGATAGCCCCACCGTATCGTTATCATCTTTGAAAAGAAGCAGAGGAAGGGTGAATTGCCTTGAGGATGATAGCCAGTTTACAGTGAAAAGCGGAACACAGTTTATTGGGTCGAGTATTCGCGAACAATATCGCGAAAATTTTTGGCAAGAGAATTTCTCTCAGAAATCAGATTTCTAAAGCTCTGATATTTTTCTTCCATTCATATGTAATATACGCGTCATTTGGCAAGTGCAATCAAAATTGTCTGAATGCCAACTTAAATATCACAAGTGCCAAAAAGCTGCATCATGATGATTTATTAATGGACGTTATATCTAATGGATTTCAAACTCAAATTTTACATTCATGGTAAAAAGTAATTTTTTTTTTTTCTCATACCATTCGATACCATGTTTCACAATTTTTTAAAGTAGTTTTGTTTTAAAAATCACTTCGAGAATTCGAGAATTAAAAAATTTTTTAATTTCCTCAAGCTTGATGTAAATTTAATTCAGGGTATCATTCCTTCGTAATTAAAATTCTATCTTTCCAGCTACTATAATATTAAATACTCTCGCAATTAAGCCTCGCATTAACTTCCCACGGCCAAGAGACCGATGAAAATGACTTGAAGAAAATCCTCTTATTAACGCGCCGTTGCATTTCCACGACCGATTTATTCAAGGGGAAACTAGATCGTGTCGAATCTTTTCGCTGTCGCACTCACGTTTGCTGTCGGTGCCGCCCTGACTTTGGAAGCTGCTCCTGCGGCTACCCGGCAGGGATCTGCTGTAATCCCGGTTGAGCTCGTAGGGCTCGACCTCGAGCTGCTCGGACTGGCTGGAACCACGTCTGGAATTGGCATGCCAGGCATGGTCCGGATGCAGGAAGCAAAACTCCGGGCTGCCGCTGTCGCTCTGCGTATCATCGCTGTAGCTACGATCTCGCAGTTCCTTCCTGAACAATCTCTGGGCGACATCCATCGACAACGAGCCGCGTGGCGAACAATAAGGAGATTTACCCGTTCGAAGTCCGCGTGGATCCTCCAGTCGGTACCTGGATATTTCAGAGATCGTAATACATAAATATTAACCAAGCTTTAATCTATATTATAATATATATATATATATATATATATATATATATATATATATATATATACATAA